CCCGAAAGCCAAGTTTTGCTTGCCACCGCGGTAGTTGAAGTATTTGATTCTGATGGTGAAAAACATTTATGCAGAGCACTTCTTGACAGTGCTTCAATGTCCAACTTTATTACTTCAGAATTTGTTAACAAATTAGGTGTCGAAAAACACAAATTCAATTCCTCAATTTTAGGCATCGGTCAAAGCAATTCCAGCATAAAACACTCATGCATTGTCAAATTCAAATCCTGTTATTCCAAGTTTTCAAGACAACTAACTTGTTTAGTTATCCCACAAATTACGGGTGAATTACCGAATTGCTATTTCGATCCCATCCAGTTAGAAATACCATCCCACTATCAGTTAGCCGATCCTAAATTCCATGAACCAGGTCAAGTGGATCTTCTAATTGACGCAGATACATTTTGGGATTTACTTGATAATGAAAAGATATCTCTCGGGTCACACAAGCCTATTCTAAATAACAGTAAATTAGGATGGTTCATTTCTGGTCCGTTAGGCATTTCCACCCCAAATCATTCTTTCTGTCATCTCTCCACTTTAGATGTTCAAAAACAGTTAGCCAAGTTTTGGGAAATCGAAGAGTTGTCAAGTGAGCCGATCCTGTCGGATGAGGAATTTCAAGCCGAAAAACACTTCTCTGATAATTTTAAGCGCGGTTCAAATGGTAGATTCATCAGAAGTTTTAGGGGATTCCAAGTTACAGGCAACAAACCAATTCTTGCTGGAACGCAAACTTTCGAAAAATCTCAAATTAAAGGCGATGTACACAGATTTTATGACCGAATACCACGATCTAGGTCACATGTCAATTTTTGCTTCATCCAATTCCAAACCTACATACTATTCACCACACCATGGCGTTCTAAAGGAGGATAGCTCTACTACGAAACTTAGAGTAGTCTTTAACAGCTCAGCTCCCTCTTCATCAGGTGTATCCTACAATTCTATCCAGATGGTTGGGTGGTTGGGCCTGTGGTACAAGATTATCTGGTTTTCATCATGCTAAGGTTTCGGCAACACCAGTATGTCATTTCTGCAGACATCTGCAAAATGTACCGACAAATATTAGTCCAAGAGGAGTATCATCCTTTGCAGCTTATTCTATGGAGAGCAGATCCCATGGATGAACTTCAAACTTTCTCTCTTAATACCTTATGACTTATGGCACGGCAAGTGCTCCTGTTCTAGCCACACGCTGCTTAAAACAATTAGCTATCGAATACGAATCATTGAATCCTCATGCATCTCGAGTCACCAGTAAGGATTTCTACGTCGATGATCTGCTATCTGGAGCTGACAGTTTCGAAGAGGTAGTACGTTTGTGTCAGGACGTTTCATCAATCTTAAAATCAGCATGTTTCGAGTTTAGGAAATGGAAATCCAACAGTAAGCAATTACTACAAATGATCAAAGCTTCACAGCCAGTGCAGGATTCGTATTTTTTTGGTTCATTCGAAACAAGCAAAACCCTGGGTATGCTATGGTCATGCGAATCAGATACTTTGCATTTTCGCATCAATTTGCCAGCATCGGCAAAACAGGTGACAAAGCGTACTATTCTATCTGAGGTTTCGAAAATCTATGATCATTTCGGTCTTGTAAGTCCTGTGGTTATTAAGGCCAAAGTAATTATTCAACTTCTTTGGACTTTAAAACTTGCGTGGGATGAGCCGGTACCTTCAGACTTGTGTCGAAAATGGCTTAACTTTCGATCACAATTGCAGGAATTAAATTCGTTGCAAATTTCCAGAAATATTTCCTGCCAAAATCCTATTTCAATTCAACTTCATGGTTTCTCGGATGCTTCGAACATGGCTTACGGTGCTTGCATTTATATACGTAAGAGTGATGCAATGGGCAATGTTCGAGTTGGACTGTTAACGTACAAATCGCGAGTTGCCCCTCTCAAAGTTCTCAGCATCCCTCGACTAGAACTATGCGGTGCTTTACTTTTGTCACAACTATATGAAAAGGTTAAAAGGTCAATCACATTAAAAATTGACAACGTTTTTTTATGGTGTGATTCCTCAGTTGCGCTTGCGTGGTTAAGATGCTCACCGCACAGTCTTCAAATTTTTGTTGGAAACCGTGTATCTATCATTCAGAGTTTAACATCAATTGAGGATTGGAGATACGTTCCAACTGAGCACAATCCAGCAGATATTTTGTCACGTGGAATGTCACCACAAGACATCTTATCAGCATGGCCATGGTCCTAGTTGGCTTCAAGAGTCAGGAACTAGATGGCCAAAGGATATTACCTGCGGAAGCTCAGTTCCATTCGCGGAACTTCCAGAAATTCGAAAAATAGCTCAATCCTTTGTTCAGATACATAACAACGATCTTTTCCCATTTAACCGATTTTCATCCTTCATGCGTCTTATTAGAGTTGCAGCTTATTGTCTACACTTTATTAAATCATGCAAAATAAAGTCTTCCAAGGGACATCACAAACCTTTAACAATCTTCGAACTCCGTCATGCAAAGGAAGTTTTAACCAAGTTGTCTCAACGCGAAAGTTTTTCAAGGGAAATACATGAACTTTCAAAGTCAAATCAGGTTTCCTCAAAAAGCAGACTTCTTAGTTTGACCCCTTTTCTTGACGATGGTCTAATTCGTGTAGGAGGTAGACTTAAACATTCATTCTACCCATTTCATAAAAGGCACCCAGCACTTTTATGTTCAAAACATCATTTTACCTACTTGTTATTTAGGTACGAACACATTGCGGCCCACAATTACTTCTCTCCCATATCAGGGAAACTTTCTGGCCAGTCGCAGGTAGAAATCTTGCCAAGCGCATTGTAAGAGAATGCATTGTGTGCTCTCGATTCAATCCCAGTATTCCGACTCCAATAATGGGTAATCTTCCAGAGGCGCGGATTTTACCAAGGCCACCTTTTTCAGACACAGGCATTGATTACGCCGGCCCTTTCCAAATAAAAGATCGCAAGGGACGCGGATGTAAAATACAAAAATGCTATCTCGCACTTTTTATTTGTTTGACTAGCAAGGCAGTTCATCTCGAACTTGTCACTGAATTGTCAACACAAGTCTTTCTAGAGACATTTCAACGGTTCATAGCTCGCAGGGGTAGACCAACCAACGTATATACTGACAATGGCACCAAGTTTAAGGGGGCTAGTAATCAGTTGAAAGAATTGGGCGATTTTTTAAGAAACAACTCAGATTCTGTAAAAAATCAGTGCGGATAGGACTTAAATATACAGTGGCATTTTATAGCAGCCTACTCGCCTCACCACGGAGGTCTCTGGAAGGCAGGAGTGAAATCAGCGAAGCATCACATCAAAAGAATACTATCTAATGTCCTTTTAACATTTGAAAGTTTTTACACAGTTCTTACGCAGATAGAGGCCGTAATGAATTCTCGACCTCTAACGCCACTCTCTTCTGACCCAAACGACCTAGGGGTGTTAACTCCAGCTCATCTATTAATTGGTCGTTCACTTCAATCAATTTCCTATCCAAATGTACAGGATATTCCTTTGAATCGTCTTTCTCACTTTGAACAATTGGAAGTCCTTAAACAACACTTTTGGAAAAGATGGACGAAAGAATATATTGGTCAATACCAAGAAAGAGTTAAATGGAAAAAGAACCAGCATAATCTTGTAGTTGGTACAATGGTTTTAATTCGCGAAGACAATTTACCCCCGTTCAAATGGCGGCTAGGGCTTATAGTTGAACTTCATCCAGGTAGTGACAATATTGTGCGCGTCGTTTCAGTCAAGACCACATCGGTAGTGATAAAACGCGTTGTCCTAAAGTTGTGTCCGCTTCCAATTACTGACCTTTAAATTACATTTTTCATTTTTCTACTTGTCACTTTGTCATCATGTTTAAGTTTCATTTGACCATTGTAATAAATGTTTAGTTTGAACTTTCTCATTTTGAAACAACTTACATTCTTTCAAGGCGGGGGGTATGTTACGAACCTATTAGTTTTTCGTTGCTATATGTGAAACCCCGCTATGTGTGAACACGCCAGAGTCACGTGACTATCATGCATCAATCACGGTCCAAGTGCATGCCAGACCGTTTGTGCAGCCGAAGGGATGCCGCCCAGCGCGCCAGTACCGATCTGACCACCACAAAGGAAAGTGCGTTTGAACGGTACGAGAGCAAGATACAGTCCACACACGAAGGTGTATAGAGGTTCTATACAGTATCCTTGTTTTGACTGTGACAGTTGTGAATATGCAGCGAACATCATGACTAGGAATTTAGAAAATTTAGCCAGCTATGCGGAGGGGCATTCATAAAAGTATAATGTCTTTATTTTTGCACCCAAGATTAAGAAAGTGAACGTCAAGTCCAGGATGAAATTATATGTGGACAATGTCCCTATTAAACTTGTAGATTACATTAAAAACCTGGGTCTATATATTGACGAGAACATGAGGTTTATGAGTGTTATATGACTTTGAGGTTGATGTATTGGCGTATGACATGAAAATATAGTTACATAAGAGTCTTTTTCTCTCTCGTTTGTCTCACTGCAATATTGCTTAGACACAGAAAATTTAGAATACTTATTGTCGCTTTATTTCTAACTTAAGCAAATTTGACCATAAAAAATGTGTTCAAGCACAACTTTCAATGCTCTTAGTATTATATTATATGTATTATGTAAATTAGTATTTAGGAAATCAATCCATGACGAGAATTTGAGACACCGAGCCACGCTCAATATGCCGTTAAATGGAACTGCAAAATTTCGATGCTGTAATTTTCTTCAACTCCGTAGATCACATTTTTTAAATTGTACCTTTTATTTAAAAATGAATTGACTTCTTCCCGAGCGAAATAACAAAATCGTAAAAAATGAAGTATGAATATATATATTATAAGTTTCTTCTTGGATGTGTCGTTTAAGGTATATTATTGTTATAGTTTTAGTGTAGTGTAGTTGTATAGTTTAGTGTAGTGTGTTTTAGTATTTAGATATGTTTTAAATGTGAGTATTGTATTCCAACATATATTGGATTCTCATGTGAATGACGGTCAAATATCCCTCACACATGTCACACTTTGGAGGAGGTTCACCGTTAAGGAGATGTTTGTGGGTAAGGGTTGTGTGTCTTGTAGATAATCTAAAAGCTCTCACTGCTTCAAGTCTGGGTAGCTCTGTATGCCTTTACTTCTGATATTGTCTGAATTGACTTCTTCTTGGTAACAAGTTGTTTGCAGTTGTTACCTCATCATTATCATCTATCAGTTCTCTTGGTAGGTTAACTTCAATTTTTTTGATATACTCTCTATATCTCACTGCTAAAGGACGTGCAATACTTCTTCGACTGGAGTAGACATTTATATCAGAGAATAATAATTTATTGTTCGGGTTTTTTGGATATGCTTTTACAGTTTTATTATTATGTCGTTGTCGTTATTATTATTGTTTATAATTTTTCATACAATAAAAATTTCGATGCACATATTCTGAAAATTTTAAAACAATGACCATGCAAATACGACCTGAAACTTATCCAATGCGGTTGCTGTACTTTTAGTACCAATTATTAACTGCAGCCTTTGTCACAGTGATTTATTTTAGATACTTAGCATTCGAATTAGGTGAAAACGAATGTTTTGTAGAAGTACAAATATGTAATGGTAATAAAAAAATACTAACATAGAATGTTCTAGTTACTAAATAATTAGGTGACTAAAAACTTCAACATGTGGCAAGGTTATATTCTTTTTGAATCGCCTTTTTTAGACGACATGATTCTGAACTTAAAGGGTAACTCTCCCTGGGAGTTTAAGAAAGTTTTGGCTGTCGCGAACGACATAACAACGCATTTCTCACTGTCGAAGATATCTTCAGCTCTGACGACGTCGCTCTCACAAATTTCGGTGACCTTGAATTTTCGCACCGGTCCTTGGTGCACCTCGAACTCGTAGTAGTAGTTTTTGGCACTCGACTTCAGTCCGACGTACTGGAAGGTAAAGTAGAGCTTTTGCCTCGTCACGTCTACCATGTGCTTGTAATAGAAATACGATTGGCCGTTGAAAAACGATATTAGCTGAACGTCCCTGTGATTCGACTGGAAATTTATTTTCAAATTTGCCTCCGTTCTGTATTGCATGCTCGTATTCTTGTGCACCTGCTAAAAATAAAAGGAAATTTGCAAGAAGGGCGAGTCGTTTATTTCTAGTGAAGTTATTTAAAATTTTTAAGCTGCGCCTTTTGCTGATTGATCTCAGGGGTTTTTATTAAATTTTTAATTCTTTTGTGGACTAGGTGAAAACATGATAAATGGAACAAGATAAAATGATACCCAAATAGGTAGATTAGAGAAACAGACCAAATCTACATAAAAAGAACTTATTACAAACCAAAAAATCAATTACAAAGAAATTTATCCCGCGAAAGGAACAGTGTAATAAAATCAAAAATTATTATATTATGCAACATTGAAATTATTAAAAAAAATTAAGGCGCTGTGGTTTTTGTCATTCAACGCTTACTGATCAAATGTTTAATTAATCATTTAAGTGATAAAATTCGGAAAACCATTTTCACAATGACTAAAACATCTGACAAAAATAATTAGGTAATTAGGTTCATATCTGACTTGTTAATCACCTTCCCGACCTATGTTAAATGTTTATATTAAAAATGTAATAATTAAGAAATCATTCGTTCATTATCATCATCATCATTCCTATTATTGTATAAAAAATGCCTATACCTATGCCTATTCCTAAATACTTCAGTACACCTTTTGCTACATAAATAACACGGTCCAACAAAGATTTCGTGATTTGGAATTTATATGGACTAAACTCAAAAGCCCGTTCATCGTGTAATTGTGTTGGTTGTAGGCAGTCGTATCTTGAAGTTAGTGAGCACTGTGATGTTAAAATTTCTTTTTAAAATGTAAAGATTTTGTGAAAACATTCCGGATATGTGTTGCTGTGTGTATGGTTCTTTTGTGGCTAAGAAATTTAGACGTAAAATTACACCCCTCTTTAGAAAACAATACTATGCTTATTTCAAATGAAAAATTGGTGATCAAGACGAACCTTGGGACCACAAAATATTTGTAAGGTATATGAAGAAGATTTAAAAATATTGGAATAATACGACCAAACGATCTCTACGTTTTGGAATACCTATGATATGGAGCGAGCCAGCAAATGACCATTATGTCCGGTATTTATCATGTGCAATGTTCGTGAATACAATATAGTAATGTTGGTGTTATATGAAGTGTCAGCAATTACAGTTCTTTTTACAAACATACTAAGTGAGAGACAGGTTTTCCTAAGGATGTTATTGAAATTTTAGCATCTAGGCTTCGAAATTTACTGAAATAGAAGCGTTAGGTGGCGATTTTCTGCTGTAAAAAAAATGGAAATGGAATACAGTGCGGCTACACTTGAAATGTTGACAACGCCATTTGGTGAATCTATTTTAAGCAAAAAAAATGTATATAAGTAGTACAAGCTGTTGCAAGATGGCCGAGACGACGCCGATGACAAACCTCGTTCTGGACGTCCCCAGCACGGCAATAACTGATGAAAGCTTTGAGAAGTGGTTGAAGACTTCCGCATCTCTATTGGCTCGTGCCATGAAATGTTTTCTGAAATTTTGGACATGAAACGTGTAGCAGCAAAATTTGTTCCAAAACTGCTTAATTTTTAACAAAAGAAGGACGAATGAAACCAAAGCCCAGTGGTCAAAATGGAAGAACCCAGAACCGCCAATGCCAAAAAAGCAAGTCAAGTTCGATCAAATGTCAAGGTCTTGCTTAATGTTTTTTTTGCATGACTTTTAATTGTTTTCTTCTTCTTCTTGTATTACCTCGAAGTGATTCGCCGTTTGCAAGAAGCAATACGAAGAAAACATTCGGAATTATTAGAAAACAATTCATGGATTTCGCATCAAGATAATGCACCTGCTTACTCATCGTTCTCGTCTCTAATTTTTTGGCCACAATCACGCCTCACCGGATATAACCCCCTGCGACTTTTTCCTGTTCCCAAAACTCAAGAAATTCATGAAAGAAAGAGGTTTGGAACGATTGTGGATATAAAGGAAAGATCGCTGGAAGAACTTAAGGCTATGCCAGAAGGTGCTTCGAGGATTGGAAAAAAACAAATTGTTCCTTTTATTATTTTATGATCGACATACTATTTGGACACCCTGTATAATAGACGATTTTCACATTTTCGACAAGTTATCTGATAGTTAATATATGATGGCAACCTGAACGTGCAATATTTTCAATTTGGCTCTGTATGTTAAAAACTAAAGGGTGCCCAACAAAATGCGTCACAGTATTTTAATTGAAGAGCGGAAGTAAAAAAGGCAAATATTAAAAGTTATGGTTAATAGTTAATAGTTTATTAACATAAAAAAAATAAGTTCAAGGCAAACGGAAAACTAATACTAAAATAAAATGGTGTTAAAAATTATTGCTTATGTATTTTAGAGCTTGTTAACAATAGAAATTAGGCTAACGACAAACGTTAAACAAAATGTACCAATAAATACAGTAGTTTCATGTTAAAAACAAATATACTTTTTAAGAAAAAAGAACTCTCTTTCTAACCTATGCATGTTGCAGATTCTTATAAAAGTCCATACATAACTTAAAACAACAACCATAAAACATACAGTGTAGACTTTTCTTCTTGTTTTCAGATATAAATTCGAGTAGTTCAGCATTTAGCAAATCTTTCACAATTTTACCCTTCTTCATAACATTGGTTTCACTCTATTTTTGCGATTTAGAAATTACAGTTTTTGTCTTCACACTTGTGGGATTATCTCCGACAATCTGTATTCGGACTGCTTTGCTGATATGATACTTTGAAGTGTACCCTCCTATATCCCAAAATGCAAAACTAAATGGTGAGTTGTACCTGGCCGACTGAATGACATTGATCAGATCTGGTCTAAAGAAATTCATAACTATTTTGTGTTTTTCTATTAATGCAAAATCCCTTTCACAGGACATAAAGTTAGGCCCCCCGATAAGAAACTTAATCTGTATTCAATCGGAGAGGCCTTGAGCTACCGAGAATATCAGAACAAACAAAAGATATTTGTTTTTATTTTGACCACCAGAGGATATTTCATTAGGAAATCCACTATTTAAACAACGAAGCAAATAGGAAGACACCTGCCCCATCACCTGCTTCACCTTCATGCCATAAAATCCTCTAAGCATTGTTCGTGTAGGCTATATTATACAGGAAAGCTGCGAAATGTAAGACATATCAGAATGCACCTGTATTACCCCGTGCAAGGTCAATGGATAAGCAACATATCTAACTTCCTCGCAAGTCTTGTTTTATGATAGGGTTAACTTGTTTCTGAGTGAAAATGTTGTCTATTATATTTATTACGTCAATTGGTGGAATGCTAAGAAATAGGTTTTGGGCGTCCAATGAAACTAGAATTGCGTTAGGAGGAATTTTAATACCTTTAATCTTGTTAATTTGTTGGAATGAATTTTTGATAACATATTTAAAGGCAGTATGATATTCTAAAATTTTTATTAATCTGTTGAGAATTTAACTAATGGTATTTTTACAAAAGAAACTACAGGCCTTATTGGCATATCCTGTTTGTGTAGTTTCATTAAAGAATAAAACATTGGAGGTTGAGGATTCATGATTATTAATTGGTATTTTCCTCTGTCATTAAAAAGTGATGTGAGTGAAGTGAGTTTTGATTTGTTTTTGTTATAACTCGCTGGGATCATATTGTGTACTTCTGTATATGTCTGTATAAGTAATTGTTTGGTTCTTGAAATAGATTCTAGAGAATGGATAGCAATGAATATCTTTCCTTTATCTGCTCTTGTAAATACTGTTATTTTGGGAAGCCTTATTTTTAATTCATTTTACCTTAGACATATGTGAAAGATCTTGGAATTTACTACTAGTTTCAAGTTGAATTTTTTTTAGTGAATGCAGTTATAGCAGAATTTGAAAATAGTTCCCAAGATGCAATTGAAAATTTAATATCCAGTATGGCGAGGCATATGAATGCAGTGATTCGAAGTAAAAGTGGCCATATACGCTATTAACATTATAATATCCATTAATTGTATTGGTTTTGATTTCTTTTCGTTTCATGTTTCACTCGTTCCCAACCAAAATTGTCTTCAACAAAATCACATGTAATCCTAATATTGAAATTAATTAAAAAAAGTATCACGTTATTTTTTTTTCATTGATCAAAGCGAGCAGAAATTATATAGATAACAAGTTATTTGAAATGTCGGAAAAATTTGATAGCCTATACTTGAAAACATTTAACAATGTATTGAATCATAAAATCTATAAAAACATGTTACGTTATAAAACGGTGGTTCCCCTTAAATAACACAGATAATGAAGTAAACTAAAAAAGACAAGCTGGAGCTACCTTCAAAGGTCAACTGCTATTGGTTTGGGTTGCTAGTATCATCCACAGAGTTATACGAATTTTCTGAAAAACACAATATGTTTATTACACCAGGTATAAGTCTAAAATGAACTTTATTTCATTATCAGCGAAAACTATGACATGGTCAAGGAACCAACCTACAATGCAAAAAAAAATGCATAAAAAATGTGGCCATTTATGATGTTTCCTTAATTTTGTAGAGGCGTTTATATGTCGTTTAAAAGTTTCCTCTGGGAATAACTCAATTTCAGAAATTATGGAACTTTGTTACTTCCACTCATCAATTTATATTAAAAAAATGTTCGGAACACCCTCATTGCTGGTAAATACAAACATGATTACTATTACTCGACTTACCTTAAAATGATTATACAAATCTTTGTAGTCGCCCATCCACTGGCAGTCCCACAGGGCAAACACTTTTCCCTCGCATTTGAAATTTCGATATCTACACTGGGATTCGTGTTCGTATTTATGTTCAATCTTCATCGTGTATTGGCAACCCTTGGTATGAAAAAAGCAAGGTACCAGCAACTTGTCCTTAATACTTTCGATTAGCTGCTCCAGAGGTAACATTCTCCGGTTAGTCATGGGTCCTCTGCAAATGGGACAGCTACGAACATTGTTCGCAGTCACACAACTTTGACACATGGGGTGACCCACTTCGCATTGGATAATAGGTACGGTCATGGTATCGGAGCATATCGGACACTCCATGATCTTGTCCGGTTCAGAGGTAGAGTTGCTTCGCTGTAATATACAGGGTGTCTTTAAATTAATATTAATGGTCCAGGTCCTAGTAGGCTGTATAAGCCGCGAAAACACTTCGAACACTGTTCGAACAGTGTTCGAAGTGTTTTCGGAGCGCGAGCATTGAAGATGCCAAGTGAGATTTTGGCGAAACGTCTGCAGGATTCCAGTCGGATGCAAGATCATATATATATATATATATATATATATATATATATATATATATATATACGAAAATTAAAACATCAATTGTATGGAAAATTGTGAATAATCCCATTTCAGCGAGGAAAAAAAGAAGCGATGCTGACATTTTCTCGAGCGTAGATGAAAGTGATCAAGATATAATACGGCGTAAAATTTACCAGTTATACGACTAACAAAACGTGTCTACATTAGATATCTTAATTAGGAGGCTTGAAAAAGATGAAACAGGTGTTAAATGTGGCAGAACTACCTTATGGAAGTGTATTCAACACATGGGTTTTAGATTTAAAAAAAATTGTCAAAAGGCAAGTTTTAATGGAATCTTTTAGAATTCGGAAATGGCGACTGGAATATCTAGAAAAAATTAAGATTTACAGAGAACAATAAAGAGCAATTATTTACTTGGATGAAACCTGGTTCGACTCTTGTGATACCCCGAGAAACGGTTGGGTTGACTTAGCTGATAAGTGTAAAACAAACGCGCCATTAAAAAGAGGTAAAAGAATAACTATTCTGCATGCTGGCTCTAAAGATGGTTGGATTCCAAATGGACTTTCTCTGTCTGCGAAAAATATTAAAGATTCTTCTCTGGATTACCATAAAGATACCACCGCTGATTTATTTGGAAGTTGGTTTATAAACAAACTAGCTCCAAACATTCCGCCTAATAGCGTAACGCGACATACAAGCGACATAAAAGCAACAATCCAAAACTACATGTATAATAACGATATTTATTTTCACGAAGATTATACCAAAAAGCAATTAAATGAGGTTCTACAAAGCTTGAACCTACAAAAGGAATAGGTCTGTGATAATTATCAAAAAATCTAGGGCATACAGTTTTAAGGCTTCCACCTTACCACTGTATATTTAATACCATTGAACATGTTTGGCACCAACTGAAATCTGCCATTCGTCGTAACAATGTTTTTCCCCGTGTTAACTCCAATGTCCTCAAACTTATAGAAACCGAAGTTTTTAACATCCCTCCACAAAGTGGGGCAAATTCTGTTAAATATATAGAAAAAGCAGAACAATCGTATATCCATATTGCAAATAATATAGAACAAATTATAATTATAACAGGCGATGATAGTGATAGTGATACTGATATATTATGTGAAGAATTTTAAGTAATTTAAGTAGGTAATAAAAAAAATTTGCAATTTTTTTTAGATTTAAGCATAAATAAATACATAAATAAATAAATATTGTTTAGCATCTTTCCTAACAAACCCCAAATAATTAAATTCTAAGCAAAGTACGGACCCATTCGGCCACATTTCGTTATTACAGCTTGCCCGGGTCTTTCCTTAATTCGTATCATTTGCAACAATTGTTCCATCTGATTTATGAAACGTTTAAAACTACCACCAGGAGGTCTATATAGAGACGCAACGAATATTCTTTTATTCATTGTTTCATTTTGTAACTTAAGTTCTTGCCTTAAATTTGTTTCTAACAAACATTGCACTTCCACCATGTTTATTTTCTAAATATCTACAGAAACTAGTTGCTGGTGTAAAACCCTTAATTTCATAATTTTCAAGTTGAATTTTAATTTTTTGCAGTTTTGTTGTTGTTCGAATATAAGAAGTCTGTCTATTAGGTCTACAAAATTACCTATGGATTGCCGCATTAACGTTTTACCTACGATGCCTGGCCAAATATTGATACACAAACCTATGTTGAAAGTTACTTCCCCTTCTTCATGCTGTTTCGTTTTCATAGGATGAAGTCAAATAGAAGAACTCATTTAAATAAAACTGCCTACGATTCTTTTAGAAAATATACTTAGTGGCTTACTGGGTGGAATTTGTACTATATCAGATTTTTGCTGTTTTTTATATGCAATAAAACTCCAAAAAGGGAAGGCAACTGAAACTGAACTAATACATATTGAGTGGTTAAAGCCAAAGAAAAAATAGCAAGAAAATAAAAAATCCAGTGTTTGAAGCTGATGTGTATTAAACTTAGTATTTGATCTGCGAAACTCAAAAAATTGGAAAGTAAGTTAAAAGAATTTTCTTGACAACCATTAATGTAATTGAACTTAGTTTGGTTTGAGAGATATTCTTCTTTTATTTTTTTAAAAAATGTATGCAACATTTTCTATAATGTCCAGATTGTTTATGAATATTGTCATATTTTACGACTTACGTAGAAAAGCACTGTGTAGTCAAATTTTATACGAAATCTTTCGGTTTTCTTAAAAATGATCACCATGCATGTTTTTCTACCATTTTAAATTTTGATTATTTTTAAAGTTCACTTTTAAAAATTATTAAAATACATTGTTGTTGTTCGCTACAGAAAATTTACATGTCGTAAAGAAAATGAAATGAAAAGTGAGAATTTTACACTTGATTTTATTTTTCAAAATATCTAAAAGTTTTTAAGTGCACGAAAATCTGAATAAACTTCTGGTTTGTAAAGCTTATATGTTTGTTACTGCATTTACTGCAAATATATTTTTATGGATAAATAAATGCTAGGAATGTACAGGGTGGTCAATTTAAGGTGCACCTATACCTTATCTCAATAAGTGCGACACCAAGGAAAAAAACTTAAATACAAAGAGTGTTTGACCTTAACTATATACTTTATTTATAGTATTTGTGTGTATACAGGCTGTTCCGTTGTGCCAAAACAGTAACCAACTTTTTTTAATGGACTTTTTTTAATGGACTGCTATGAACTTTTTTAAAAATTCCATTCAAATCATTGATTGATTTTGAGTATTTAATTAATAAACTTTTCCTTTCTTTTGCAGAAAAGGTCTTTATAAAAATGTGTTTTTTACACTTCATTTAGGAATTTTAATTATAGAACCATTAAATTGGTTAATATATAATGTTTCGACCTACCTATGACGAAATTTTATTATACAGGGTGGACAGAAATGTTTTTTCCAATTAAAAAAACTTTAATTTTTTTAATGAAACACCCTCAATTTAGCAATTTTATTGGCTTTGGGATTTAATTCGGTATCAATTCATATATATATCTTTTATTAGAAAAATTGGATCCTAGCATGTGTTTATTATAAATTCCATTCTTAGAACTAACCAAAACTAACCAAAACTAACCAAAACTAACCAAAACTAACCAAAACTAACCAAAACTAACCTAAACTAACCAAAACTAACCAAAACTAACCAAAACCAGTATATGTTTGCATAAAAGTATAGTTTCAGTAAATAACAAATAATAAGCTTTATAAACCAAAAGTTTATTCAGATTTTTGTGCACTTAAAATTTTGTAGAGATTTAAAAAAAAAATCAAGTTTAAAACTTTTCAGGAAGAAATCTTTGATATCTTAAATGGACCACTCTGAACTACCTATACCTTGTAAAGAGCTGCGCAATGCAAAAAACACAGATCCAAAGTATATTCTTATTCTAAGTCAATATATTTTTGTCACATCCTAAGAGCGTACAATTTTTATGTGGGATTTGCTATCTAGTGTTGGGTCTGGCCAATTGACCACTTCTTAATTGAGTAATCAAAACATATTTTAAAAAACCTCTTGCAATTGTAGAGAGTTATGTATCGGTATTTAATAATATATGTATTTTAATAAACACATTATTGTGCGTTTCTGATGTCCAATTTACCCATAACCCTCTTGAAGGAATACTCGAATATGATACTAAGCGGTTCGGGGAATCGCAATAACAATATCGACTCCATTTGGTTATCAGATCGACGCGACGGCGACGTAACCCATAATATACATAAATAAATCTAAATTTCATGGTATTTTTAAAATTGTTGCGGTCAATTGACACAAAAAAAATTGACAGGTCAAATCCACAACCCTACATAGCACCAAAGTTAACCTTCCTGAAGCTAAATTTGGATACGAATTAACATTAGGTGACGATCTTGGACATTTTTATATCAGTTTCAACAAAACTAAAAGTGCTTTCACATACTCAATATTTAAAATATTAATTTCAGTATTTCGTATTTGGTTAAACGAATCAAACTGGAAATAGTTTTTATTGGTACAGTTTTTTACGACAAACGGCGATGATTAAAAACGCTAGTCAACAGAATGAATCAACAAGTCACTTACCGAATTCATTTCGATTTGTTTTTAAATTGCCTGCTAACAGCACTTTGAGACTTTCAAAATTTAAGAACACTATGCCAGTCGAACCAGCAGATCGCAAATGCAAATTTAAATTACAAACAAAAAATCTTATCGCAAGACTAACAAATATCAGCTTACTTAGATCGAATCAAAATGCATTTATCGTCGCTGTACATTTTCTTTCTGTTGAAATCATAGGCGTTACCACAGTTTCCATCCTTGTTCGTACTATTAGACTCTGCGGGCAAACTTCAATCAAGCAGCGCAAGCCTGGTTGCCTACATTCTGAGTAATTCTCCACGTTTATTGGTATGAGGATGTGGTGCACTTCAATGGGCTAACAAAAAAAGCACCTAAAAGAGAGCTAAATGATAACGGGGAAGTAGACTCTCACCGAAGCGATGAGGACGGTCGGACTATAATTTTACTCGGTGATTCATTACTCGAAAGTTGTTTAAAATTGCGGGGTACGTCCTATTTTTGCCCTGGCCAACCAGTTGGTAAGCGGGGTGGGTAACTCATAAGCAAAGTTAGACAGATTTTGGCGCCACCCGTTTTTCACCGGACGTAGCTCCTCGAATAGTGAAAAACTGATTATCACAAAACGGGAAAAGAGGAGTATTAGCTACAAGAAAGGCCTTATGTTAATAGCAAAATCTATAAAAAAAGGCACAAATCAAAAGTTCGTGTTTGGAGTTATATAAAGCATAAGGTTCCAAAAGCTTTACGGTCTTGAGCGATCAGTTCTTACATAAGTCGGTCGTATAACATTCATATAATACACAAAAGCACAAAATCAAAACAAACAGCTTTAGAAAAGTATTAATTACAAATACCAAATTTTAGTACTATTGCTCTGTTTTTCTAGTGGATATTAATCAGCATGTTAATCAGCATCGGCATCATTTAGAATGTTCTAGAATGAACGATCCCCAGTTTCAAGGGTTGTCGAGACACGCGCTTCACCTTGGGCGACCTTCTTGGAGGTATTGGCAAAAGAAAATGCCTGTCGCTGGTTTTCTAAATAAACTAGTGCTTGTTATTTCGATAGGGCCATTCATAATGGCCGAAAATAAAAGGCCAGATTGTTAGTGGCGTTTCTCGTTAATTCGGAGTTGTTTACATTCGTTTTACCCTTTTTCTTTCTAACATAGATACCGTAGTAGTAGGCTACCGCATGTTCATTGCCCACACGTCTTCCCTGGAAGACGAGGCCCAGCATTCTCGCCACCGTTTTGGCGGTCTTCCTTGAGCTCTTTTCCCTAGTGGGCTGTTCATTTTTGCATGCGCTTGCTTAACGATCCTGCTATCTTCCATTCTTTTTATGCGTTTGTTCCAAAACCTTCGTCTTTGCCTCACCCACGTTCCTATACCTTGTATTCCGGACTGCTGTCTGATGCCCTCATCAAGTTTTACTTAATATTTTCATTTGAACTGTTATCATCATTTGTAGAGTTCTGTTTGTAACTACTCTTTTTTCTGCTGCGTATGTTATAATAGATCTTATAGCCGTTTTATATATCTTGACTTTGATCTCCGTATTAAAGTATTTGTTCTTCCATACAATTTCTTTCAGACATCCCGCTATTCGAGTCGCTTTCATTGTTGTGTCTCTTACGTTGAGAAGTAAGATATTTAAAGTGATTTACCTGTTCTATTATTTTGGAATATATTTCCAGCTTACATCATATAGGTTTTTTGCATGTTACTAAGCATTTAATCTTCTCGGTGTTGAGGAGCATGTTTAATTATATTTCTTTAGTATTGAAAGAGTGTAATAGTCTTTGCAGATCATCTTCAGAATCTGCAATAACAACGGCATGGAAGCTATAAATGTAAACACAGGAATTACACGAGGCGATTCACTCAGCCTATATATTTCCAATTTATTGATGGATAAAATAATAGAAAACCTTCCTAGAACAGCTGGATTTAAAATGGGACACACATTCTTCCATTCGCTTTACTCAATATATTGAAATCCACAAAACGTGATATCAACTGAATCAACCTTAAAATATGGGTGCGAAACTCCGATATTTGCGTTAGCATTTTAAATAAAAAAAGGAGCCCGATATGAGCTTTACCTTCTAATATTGAAAATAAAAAAAAAAAACACAAAAAGATTTTATTGGTGGAGAAAAAGCATCTAAACGATTTGATGGCGATGACAGACGGTTGCGACTACATAACAGCGACAGCATAACAGCGTAGGTAAGTTGCTTTCCTTTATTTTACGCGAGAGTGCTTGAGTGACTTTGAAAGTTCTAACCCTAAATTACATTTGTTTACAATGTAGCTCTTTTCAAAGTACGAATAGTGGATTCCCGGAAAAGGTAACACAAATGGTAATTTCAATTTCCTTTTAAGCGTAGCTAATGTTGAATATTTGATCAATTTGGATTGATATCGCCAGTGAAATTGAGCAAAACCAATTATTATTTATTAGCACGAACACCGAACTTAGTAACCGATAAATATTTCTAAAACTTACTGGCGCATGCACCATTTGTGTTCGGAAGAACGAGACGTGAGCTGGAATATAGAGTAACCGAAACTAATTACTATCTTAGTACTTACTAACTGTTAAAATTATGTTGATTAAAATTGTGGATTAATCTTAGGCATTGATCTAAAAGCAATTTTCTGATTTGGGGTAACTCTAGCCTGTAACAAGGAGTGGTACAAAAGAACTTAGCAGTACCGTACATCGTATATTCATTAAGTTCAGTAATACGAAAGTTGAGAATAAATTGTCGAATTTAATTTAAGCGATACATAATTATACCTAAACATGCACCGGATAACCTGGCATTGTACAACTAGTTTCATAAAAAACTGATATGGCTTGAAAATTCCATCAAATTCAGTTTAATTCTTCCGTCAGCTGTTATAGAAAAAGGAGTAAGAGCGTGTTTTTATATTGCATTGAATTACTAAAAACTCTTGCGTTAATCAGCTTTTACTGTTGTTTGAACACGAAATTATTGTAAGCAATAAGATACATCCTCTAAATTTTAGAAGATATCTTGCAAAAAATGTATATTATATAGGTGTTAGAGTATTCAGTATTTTGTTCAATTTTATTGTTTATCGTTGGTTATTCTCGGAAGTTTTATCATTAAAAATGTTTAAACTAAACAGACTTAACTATTATTTATTCTAAATATAACAAGTTAATTTTTAAGTTTTAAATAAACAAATAATAATAATAAATAATTAGGTTAAGATAAATGTATGAATTGTAACAGGTGAATTGTGCAATCTCAATCAGCTTGAAGTCTTCGTGGTCATGAAAGGATTTATGAAGTTTTCCTCAAGCTACAATTCTTTCCATACTTTCTGAATACCTTCCATAGAAAGCTCCTCGCTGGTTTAGATGCATAAAATTTCTTCGATACAGCCGCTTCATCATTATCCGCCCATATGTTTCGATTTGGTTTATGTCAGGACTGTTAATTTTTCAAAGAAATTTCCCCAGGCTACTGCAGTACTTTTTACAAAAAGTATATCAGGACTGTTACTTGGCCATGGCAAGGTTTCAATATTGGCATTTTGAAGCCATTGCATTGCAATATACAGGGTATTTTCTAATTAGGGAGGCGATTTAAGTCCATTTTAAAAAGAAATCTCAAACATGAAAACTTGAATATACGTCCTAAACGTTTTGAGATGCAGGGTGGCAAAATTTTCAAAAATAAAACATATTTTTTTAATATCTGTAATACTGTAGATATTTTAAGGAAATTTGGCACACATGTACGGGATTTCACATGTCTCAAATGTCTTGGCATATATTGATTGTACGCCAATGATTTCTCTTAAAATAAAAATTATTCTTACAATCTCCAACAATTTCTAAAGAAATTAAATCTTCTGATTTTTTAATATGACAGCATGTAGATAATTATTAGTATTATTATTATTCTATCTGTACAAAGTACAAATAGGAAGTACGTAAACTAATAATGATTTCATATAGTTGTAGTAGGCTGTGTCCGTAAGAATTATTAATTCTGCGGTGAAGGCGGATATTGTTCAGTTTTTAAAATCAGTTCTTCGCGTCTTATTAATTTGCTGTTTAAAATATCCGCACATTGTTATTTTAAATAAGAATGATCGAGTTTATTAATAAGGAGTTTGCAGAGAGTGCTTTCGTAATACAGTCATGCCAAGTCGGCGAATATTTTCAAATGTATAAAGAAAGTTGACTGAAACTTTGAGTGCAAATAATCATTTAAAAGGGGCCCATCGGACTATAGGAAATTGAAGAAGCAGTTTTAAATTCAATTGATGAAAATCTTGAACTTAGTAATAGAATAATTGGGAATAATCTGAATATCTTGCACGTCTTGATTTGTAAAATTTTGCACGATTTTCTATTATGCCCATATCATATTCAAGTCCAAGCGTTACTTCCCAGACATTTTCCCTGGCGTTTTAATTTTTGCCAATGGTTTTGGGGCAAAATTGGGCATTGTTTGACTAAGAAATGTTATTTACAGACGAAGCGAGAAATTTCTGATTGCATCCATCCATCCATAATTGGACAAATGGAAACCCCCATGCAGTTGTAAGGGGTGTTTTTTTTTTCGATGTATAGAACTTTAAGTTGCAATAAAACAACGATGGATTGTTCGATTGACATGAATTTTATTTATCCGAAAGATAATCTTGTGGCATTACATTTTAAATATTTCGGGCATATGACCGCCACGGCTGGCGCGAATGTAGTCCAATCTGGACGTCCAATTTTCGATGACTTTTTCCAAAATTTGTGGCCGTATATCGGCAATAACTCGGCGAATGTTGTCTTCCAAATGGTCAAGCGTTTGTGGCTTATCCGCATAGACTAATGACTTTACATAGCCCCACACAAAGTAGTCTAGCGGTGTTAAATCACAAAATCTTGGAGGCCAATTCACAGGTCCAAAACGTGAAATTAGGCGGTCACCAAACGTGTCTTCCAATAAATCGATTGTGGCACGAGCTGTGTGACATGTTGCGCCGCCTTGTTGAAACCACATCTCCTGCACATCATGGTTATTCAATTCAGGAATGAAAGAGTTAGTATTCATAGCTCTATACCGATCACTATTGACTGTAACATTCTGGCCATCATTGTTTTTCAAGAAGTACGGACCAATGATTCCACCAGCCCATAAAGCGCACCAAACAGTCAGTTTTTCTG